ATTCCCTTCAATACTGGGACACCCAGTATAAAATTTAGCGCTACAAACATATACAGATATGTGTTTCGATTTATTTTTTCATACAGTAACAGTTTTATAAAACTTAGTGCTACAAACGATACGTACGTGTAGTAAAAAAACACTCGAGTTACCACGTAAAATGCAAAGTCGATGATTAGCCAATTTCTGAAGTTTTTGGGAACGCCAAGAGGAACAGAGAAATGGCGGCAGGAAGGAGCCAAATACGCTTTCCAATATTTACGAATAACCGCACCCGATTAACCAGAAAGCCGAGGGCGAACGAGTGTTTGAGCCAGTGCCGCGCCCGGAGGGGGCGAATTGACCCCCGACGAAACAGCCTGCTGCACGGCTCCACGCAACAGAGGCCAATGAAATACAAAATGGCCCGGTCATCGTGCTCAAGAATAGAATTCCAACCGCCTCTTTCTTTCGCCGTAGATTTCAATTCACTTCACTTCACTGATCCTCCGTTACGTGGAAACGTGTCTGATTCTTACGTAAAAGCAACACCTTTAAAAACGCGCCTTTCTATTTGTTATTAAACAAATCGCATCGACGAAAGCCTGTCGTCCGTAGTTTTCCACCGCGTGTCTTCAAACATTTGTCAGAGAGTCAGTAAATACGGAGAGGAAAGTCATGAAGAGCTCGAGCTCGAGCGATAATCTGATTAGATACAAGTGGCGGTTGAAAGGAAGGATCGATAAGCCGGCGAGATAATCGGCGAAAAAATCACAGCGACTTAACCTATAACCGTTTGTCAGTAAAAGATGCGAACAACTTCCCCTCCTCCTCTTCCTCCTTCACCGCCGTGCCGGGTGCTCTCGAGAAGCCTCCGCTAAATCTTAGTTCAATAAACACTCTATAGAGCGTGTTACTGGAATTACCCGGCGTTAGTCGGCTGGCAGATTAGTCGAGAGCTTAACGATCCCCCAGAGGTCCGATGGAAATCGACCGTGTGACTTGTTACTCCGGGAATAAGATGATCGCGCGTCATTAATTAATTTCCAGAAGGCGAACCGTTTCACTCTCATCTCTCTCTTTCTCTATCTTTCGCGTTAACGTCGACTAACGCGTAGGGGCAAGAATAGCAAAAAATGATTGCACCGTAAAATTAAAGAAAAATGAAACTAATTAACTTGTATAAATCTCTCTCTCGAACAAAATTCACGTGCCCAAGAAGTTTTATTAATCACAACTCGGAGTTTCCACTTGTCTGTTTATCCGGTTCACTCGCGCGATCGTCTTGGCCTTTGGCGACAAGCATAAGCAGAAACCGATGGTGAAGGAATTTATTGCCGACTTTTCCGTGAAATTATTCATTTCCAATCGTGCAGAGCCGAATGCGAAACCGACAGAGGTCGAACGAATAAAGGGTGAAAATTCGGATTTCGAGGCGTGTCGATCGGATAAAACGTCGGGTGCCGGTGTGTGCAAACGGTTAGCTTCCGTGCAGAACGCGCATAAAGAATTTCGAAACACCATAAAAATCGATCGGCGCGGGGTGGGGTGTGGGGGGGGGGGGAGGAGGTGAGTTCCTCCTTCTCGGTTAAACCGGCTATTCGCAGATTACCGGTCCACGCTGACGCGCCGTGAACGCAACTGCGAGCGCGCGTGCTGTTTGTTCGTACTGTGGCAGAGGCGAAGAAGAAGATAGACGAACGCAAGGGCCGAGCAAGGATAGAAAAAGGAAATCCATAAGCGAGGAGAGTGGATGCGAGCGAGCGCGCGGTCGAAAGCGAGAGCGAGAACGAGAGCGAGGACCGACGATAATGTCGAGAGAGATGGCCTGAGTCACCGGCGGTGAGAGACAAACCGAATCGATGAATAAACGGGAGCGAGCGAGACGGAGTACATATCGGGCGAGAGGAATGTCTGACGATAGGGGCGAGCGAGAGAATGAAGTAAATATAATACAGCCGTTCGGCGGAGAGAGAAGGGAACAAAGCGAACGAGAGAAGTGTAAGCTCATCACTCGGCGGAAGAAAGAGGAGTGAGTTACCGATCGAGCGAGCGAGCGAAATGAAAAAGATGGGAAAAGGACGCGTTGACGAAAGAGCGAGCAAGAGAGAGAGAGAGAGAGAGAGAGAGAGAGAGAGAGAGAGAGAGAGAGAGAGAGAGAGAGAGAGAGCATGGCAAGAAAAAGACTGGACGCGTGCGATGGAAAGGAGCAAAAAAGAGTAACGGAAAATGAGGCGTAATGAGAAGAACAAAAATGTGTGCGCGTTAAAGAGGAACGAAATCATATGAGTTAACGAGTGAGACAAAGGAACGCTTCTGGAAAAAGCAATGCGAGCAAGAGAGAGAGAGAGTGAGAGAGGGGGCGGAAAGGAACCACGTGACAATTGTACAAGGAAAAACGGTAAACGAACCAGAACAGAAACTGTCTTTCTCTCTCTCTCTTTCTTTCTCTCTTTGTTTTTTCCCTTTGAAGGAGAGAATCAGAGGAGAAAAAAAAATGAGAGAGAAAAGCGAAGTTCGAGGAACGAAGTAGAGCAACGTTCAACCACACAGACTTGTCATTCCCCTCTCCGTTTCTCTCACGTTTTTCTCGCGACGAACCGAGAGAGAGAGTCCATCGTGTGTATTCGTATTTGCGCTCTACGTACTACCGGCGCGTTCGATCTTTGCGTATTCGTTGCAAATGGCACACCGTTAACGGTACATCGCGTTCGTTACAAATATTGCAAACATTCGATTCTATAACAGGTCGCCTAACTAACAACGTAACGCTGTCACGAATTTCGAATTCTTCATTCTACGTATATCGCCTTGCCTTACGTACATGCATACATGGTTTTCGTTCGCTGGCGAATTTCGATTTTAGCCTCTACGATATTTGTGTCGAGTTATATCGGCCACGAAAAAATGAACTTTATTTCTGTCATAGGAAAAATTTAAGAAAGAAGCGAAAATCGTGTTACGACAGAAAGAAATAATCATTTGTAATTATCAGTTTTTTGTGAAATAACACGACTTTGTAATGAAATATTTGCAATGAAACGTGATTTAAAAAGAACAAGTGTTATAAATTTATTTCGATTTTACGGTATAACCGAACTCGTCGCGGCTTAAAAAATAATTGAGCGTGCAAACGCACGTTCTCAAAAATGAAATAAAACACTTGGAGGATTAATGTCTTTTTAATAGGTTGCTGGAATGGCAGAGATACTTGGTACGAATGTTTTTTTTTTTTATACAGTGGATAACATAATTCTTCTTCACCGGCGTCTTTCTTTCAGAAAGAAAAACGTAGTTTATTTATTTATTCGCTCGACTAGCGATACCGATGAAGAAACGGAGATCCCCTCGTGTCGTCAGCCTCCTCTTCCTCCTCTTTCTTCCCCCCCGCCCTTCCCCTTTTTACAAATTATTCGCCTCCAAGTGTCATCGATATTCCGTATTTCCGGCGAGTCTTTCGAGCGAGAACGATATTCACGAGCGAAGGTGGGCTCCGCAGGAGAGGAGGCCGGTCGATCGGCAGGAATTAAAATATCGAGCGTCTCGAATAGAGAGGAGCGCGCTTCGGGCTGGCGAGAGAAACGAGAACAGAAAGACAGGGACGAGCAGAGCCAGCAACGAGGACAGAAGTAGCCGAACAGTCCTGGGCTCTTTGCACTCTCCATCCTCCTCGCTCTTACGGAGCCCATGTCGAATCCTCTTTTCATCTCACGGTTTTTCTTCTCTGCTCGCCGGCCACCGAAACGAAGACAGAGGCTCCTTTTTGTTCCGAATAATCCGTGTTCGAAGCGATTTCAGCCGATGCCCTCGCGTAATGTTATTGAATGCCAATCGGCAGACCGATCCTCCTCCATAACGTTCGTCCTTCCCGGTTTGACAGATTTCGTTTGTTTTGACCACCATTTTGAGGTTACGATCACGAGAACTCTCTGGGCGGACATTCTCGCGTAAATCATCTCCGCTTGATGTGAAATCGCGAATGTTGCAACTTTCGAAATATACGTACACACTGTAAATAGTTTTTATCATTTTTTTTTTTATATACAAGATAAAAGGATCGCTGATGATGAAATTAAATATTACGAGCAAGTGTAAATGAATTGACAAGTGTGGTTATGTGTCGAGAACAATTGGGGGCGCAGCAGTTTCGCGGCGCCCCTGTTTCCAATTACTCACCGGTTAAATATTAGAAACGTTGAAACACGCGTTGAAAAGTTGACTTAGATGTTATCTTGTTCCACGGATTATAAGTAATACCGTAACGTCAAAGCAGCCTGCAATCCTCCGACGGGAAAGTCCGGATCTCTCTTAAACAACTTTGCGCGTGCGGTACGCGTTAGTTGGAGGTCGTTCGAGAGTGACCCTCGTCCTTTATGTTGAACCACCAGGACTCCTATTCACGACTATTAGGTTATTTAACCCGATTCTCTTGAAAACGTAATTCCCGTATAAATTCGCAGATTGATCTCAAATTTTCGCCACGTAATTACGGGCGGTCGTGTATCGTTACTTAGTAAGAGTAATTGAGACCACATAATTATTTAATCATTCTAATGGAGACTGATAGAATTTGAATAAAATTAATCTTTTAATATAAATTAAAATTCATCTTTCATAATATAATACGATTAATCTTTGATAACATGCATTAAAAATATTGATCTATTTATTACGGATCCGAATAACGATAAGAATTATAAAAAATGTTGTGGAAGAGAAGTTAATATATAAAGCAATAAATACAAAAATAAAAAACACTTTAATATAAAGAAAAATTGAGATTTTAATCATTTTCTTGTTTTTTCGCTAATAATCCTGAAATTAAAAGAAATCAGTGAATAAATCTTTTATAGATAATACACAATGAAAATTATCTACTGCATAACAAGTATCATCTAAATTAAATCGATAAAATCAATAGTGTAATTATCTGTTAATCCACGGTGAATATTAAAACAAATCCAATAGATCGTACAAATGAAATGTGAAAAATCGGTTTTTAAATGAACCATGACGAACAGTTAACCCTCCGAGTACCGCATCATAGTGACCCATGCCGGAATCACTGCTGACTCACACCGATACTTTACTAACACAGCGGCTCAAGCTCGAGACCCCCACCAATACTGTACGAGCCCAGTTACGGTTGCTCGAGCTCTAGACGTTACTATAATGCAATGTAATAGATTTCGAGTTACGCTCGGATTTTTGTTGTATGTATGCAAAAAAATAATAGATTGATAAGTTGTATTGCATTCATTACATATAATTTTTTGGATTTTTGTTGAGTGGGCATTACAAACATTTCTTTTGCATGAATCGCATACAGGCGAGCATCTGTTATTACTTCCTATACAGAAACAGCACCTAGCACGCTTATTGTAATAAAAGTATGATTGTATGATGGATTGTATTTCACTAACTATACAAATACTGCGTGTATGATACGAGTCTGGGAGATGACTGACTGTTGCTAAGAGACTAAATGTTGCTACGTGACGTTTTGGTGCCAGCTTTTTTCCTAGACTTGGCTTTGTTCCTACCCTTACCGAGATGGGAGAATACCAGGACATCTGGAAATTCTCGGCAAGGCCGAGCTGTGGTGAAGGTGGTGTCATTTTTCGCCTCGCACAAATATGTAGCTTCGCACTGCGTGCGTAATCGTTTTCCAAACGACGCGATACGACGTCACTAATGACTCCGGCATGGTATTTGTAGGGTTAATCATCTAGAAATTACAATTTTTGTAGGAATCGCAATAATTATAGTTTGCATAGATGTATCAGTATCTAAACGTACATTGTTCCTGCTCATATTATTTAAATGTCTACAATATAATTCATGCTTTAGCAACGAGTAATGAAACAATGAAATAATTATTTTAAATTAGACGCCTTTATCTTTGTACAAAAATATTAATGACCACACATTTTTCCAATTGTGAAAAGTACTCTTTCAAGTACTGTAAATGATACACGTAAATACTTTTAGCAAATTTTGTCATTCTAACGATCAAACTATAATTTGCTTTGTTAGTTGTCATTGAAGCATAAATTGCTCGAAACGTTGGACAATATTTATCGACTGTAATTGTCTGACTAATCGGTTAATAACTCTAACCTCAATTATCTAGTAAGATACCTGAGTAATTTTCTCGTAATTTTCCTCTACCTGGACACATCCTTTAGTCGTTGTAGCACAATGGTCCTTTTATGGTTTAAATGCAAAAATCTTTTGCAAATGATGTTTGCTCAAATACCTTCGAGGCGAATCTACTGCACGTGTACATCGGAGGTAGTGGAAAAATGCGAGTCAGGGACTTTGCTCGTAGAGGGGTGCCGTTGGGAGAGTTGTAGCCCCGGCTGTCTTGTAATTGAACAACACGAGCTACCGAACTTCCTCGGTCTGTTCCAACCTGCGGAACGTTGGGGGAGGTAGAGGGGGGGGGGCGAGGGAGAGTTGGGGGAGATCCCTATTTCTGGCCTCAATTTCAGGCCCGATCCTACTGGCTCGCCACACCGGCCCTGGATTAGAAGCTTGTCCTCGCCCATGGAATCCTCCGGCTTCTACTTTTGACCGTAACCATTTCCTTGCACGACACTATTTTTACTCGATGTCACACCCGTCACCGGCCTTTTCATTGGTTTCGTGTGTGTATGTGTATGTGTATGCATGGCTGGAAATTTCGAAATTTCGAAAACTCTTTGCCAGGCGAAACAGGTTGTTGAACAAGCAAGCAAAGAAAACTTTCGATATCGAAAACTGAAACGTGAATTTCGCGACAGAGATGCTCAAATAGAAATGCTTTATCGCGTTTCCATTTGAGTATATGAGAAATATACAGAAGTTGGCCGCACGAGCGCTGAACTGTTATTGATAAATAGAAGAAAAAAAAAAAAAAAAAAAAGAAAAGAAAACGAGTCGAAAAGTCGGAATCGTTTAGTCGAAATACGGAAAAATCTCTGGTTGGATCGATTCGAATGCAAGGGAGAGAGACAGTGTTAGTGGACCGAGAGTATGTACAAGCTTTGACCGTGTCTCCATGGGATCGTGGCGGGATTACCGAAGGGTTAAAGGGGTTAAGCAGCCAAGACCTTTCGGAGGGGCCCGATGGTAGTACCTAGCCATGGATGGATCTTCCCCTTCTCCCTCTCTTTGCGACTGAAGACTTGGTGGGAAACATTGAGATTTAATATCTGGAAAAGGACGTTGCTGCGGCGTGACCAGTGGCGCAGGGAAAGGAAATTTATCGTAGAAAGTACGCCATTTGTCCCGCCGCTGAACACGTCCTATTCTGCGTACGTACGTCAAACGTACGTCGAGATTCTCCATCTTTTGCGTTCAATAGTTTTTAGTCCAAAATCTAAAATTTATACTCTGTTAGTCTTTATTCCACTGTTAGTCTTAATAGTCAATTTTAGATTAATCTAATCTAATTTTCATAGACGTGATTTTTATTTATGAAATACTGCAACTCCATTTTGGACATTCAGATTTTTGGACATTATATTTATAAAAAATATAGAATTATTGTATAATTGCATTTACAACAGTTATAAAATTCGACGTTTATTCAAAAGGCCTGCAGTTAGAATCCCGTTGACTTCCGAGTGTTATTGAGTTTTCAGGTAGCCACCCTTATTCCTTCTACGGATTTCACAGGCCCTAAAAGGTCCGAGGATCCTTTGTGTCTTATGCATTATGTTGTGAATTTTATTGCACTGCAAACTTTCTCTAAATATTTTTACATTGTTGAGAGACTCTTTGTCACATGTGCTCAATAACTTTATCCTAAAATTTATATATATATATATTTTATAAAAAAAAATTCAAAGTCAATTCAAAATTAATCTACAGATTTTGATCCATCAAATACTGTAACCAGCACTCCATTTTGGATTTTTCTCTGTTAACTACATTCTTACACTGTTCAGTCCATGAAAATTAGTCGAGACAGTGGTACCATGGACCGTAGATTATCTGTACCGATAAGATTAGGTCCCTGGTATTCCTAACAGTTCTAAATTTCCATGTCTCGCCACGAGGAATTTCCAAATGAATGATAAGATCAGGACTGATCTTCAAACAATAAAACACGGTCTCACGGTTGTTCTCTCGGTGCTCGAATGCATCGAAACGAATAGGAATTCCATCCGAAGTTTGATTTTCGTGTTTGGCTTCGCCGCGACCTGCCTGCAAACCGAGAAAAATTGCAGCGTACTCGCGAAGGACGGTCGAGGAAGCGGGTGAAGGTGTATAGTAAATGGCAGAGCAACGCTAACGGGTGAAAAGAGAGAACGAGTGTACGAGCGCACACGGACGAAAAGGACGTGATGCGTTCGTGGTATTGGCGGACTGGCGGGAGGGGGGAGAGGAGAGACTGGGCGTTGAAGGAGAAGGGAGGAAACCGCGCGAAGGGGAAAACGACTCGACTCGGAACTTGGTGTCGTAGCGGTACCCGTTTTCTCTTCGGCACCGCGTATCTCGTTGCCACGAAATTGAATAACCGCGATATAACCGCGGCTAGCGTACGAAGTTGCACTCGTCCAGGCTCGAGTTTCTCGACCGTCGGAATCGAACGTGATCCCAAAACAAGCGGTTCGTTTTAGAAAAGCACGGGCGCTCTTTTAGTTCAGGCCCAATTCATCTGGCGAATTTTTTTTACTTGTCGATGTTTTACAAAATCGTAACGACGTTAGTCTGTTTGGAAAATTATGTGTAAAATGATAAAATGTACAATGGTAAAATTTTCGACGTTCTTGTCTAGAGAGAGATTCTCGAGAAAAGTGTCATTTACGGGCTGCGCGAGCGACAAACAAACAATTAACGAGCGCAGAAATATTTTAACGGTGTTCATTTTCAGTCCCGATTCGCATCGCGTTACAATCATACACACCTTCCTCTCGTGCACACTCTCTCGCCTCTTGTTACTCGTACACCGTGCACGAAACTCAAGGGAAAAGGCTTTCCCCACTCGACTGGCTGGCTGGTTAGGTGCTTGATCACGTGTTGCGCGACGCGAGTGCGCACCAGTCAGAACGTCGTTGACCGTTCAATGTAGCAGATCAAATCCATCCCCCCCGATACGTGTATCTTCTGTTTCAACGCTTTCGAATGCCGCGTGTACCAAATTTGGTGGCACGGTGAACCTCATTGTTAGTTGCACGCCCGAACTGCTTCTGCTTTGTGCTTTTTCGTCATACGAACGAAGCTATACGATAGCTACTTTTTTTTTTTTGTTGTACAGGGTATTTTCACTGTAATTTTGGGATGACGACTCGCTCGAAAACTGCCACAGCGCTCGACGTATTAACATTATTTAGAACGTAATCTTCCGTGATTTACAACATGATAAGATGCAGGATTACAAAGAACAACTACGCAACGGACTGTACTACGCAGTACGATAAATTCATTATCAAGGTCGAATTCGATCCATTGTATCGATCGCTCGTCAGCGCCCTGATTTATAGACGCTTACATCACTTATCGCGTATCGTAATCTTCCGCTCGAACGAAACGCTTTCGTACGATTTTATATCATCGAGGTATAACGATCGTCGTGGTATTATCGATAATGGGATACGTGCCAGCTACACTGGATGTTTAATATTTCTATCCGTGTGAATGCAAATGTATTCATAGGGACTAGGTTTTAAGCAGGTGAAGACACGATTAACGACTGTGGCCGTGCATATCGTACATTCTGGTTCTGCACACGGAGTCTTGGCATCGACGAACCCAGAGAGAGAGAAAGAGTAAGAGACTCCATGTTCTCTATAGGCGCCAACAAATTACACGGGACGACTTGGTCGAGTGTCTACCAGGCGCGCAGGTTTACGAGGGAGTTGTCGAGTCGCCATAAGTATCTCTTCGCCGGAACCAAATACAAATCGAACGGCTCGACTTGCCACGCCTGTTACAACAAAAGTAACAGTCTTATTAATTAATTAATTAAAGAAACGATTGCTTCGTCAATTTCAAAGAAAAAACAAGAGAAAGATCGAAAAGTTGTTTTACCGTAGAATTTTTTTTCCGAGGGAAAATTAATTTGGGGAAACGATTGCTTCGTCCGAAAAAACGATCGGGCAGAAACGTTGCAGCGTGAAATTTTCGAGAGACCCAGAGAGGGCGAAAGAAAAGCGAGCAGAGTCGATATCCTGCCAACGAAGTATGTCGGTCCGAGGTAAACGAATACCGCTAGGTACAAACAAGTACGAACTCGGTGCGTCTATTTTGCGCCATACTGCGCATCGTTTCGCCTCCTTTGCCCCTCCCCTCCGCCTGGCCCTTGACTCGCTCTCTCTTTCACTCTCTGCCCCGATCGACCCTTGCTCGTCCCGCACACGGGATAACTTTCGTTCGAACAGGCTAAAACGTAACGGCATAACTTGAAACAAAGGGCGCGCCGAAACTTGGGACGCCGGTGGTAACCGTTTCATTCGGATTGGAGTTCCTTAATAACGAATCCTCGAGGATGTTGGCGGTTACATCGATGTTCGCGGCGTGAGTATCCACTGCGAGTTTAGAATAATTCGCATCGCATTCGGTAGGAACCCTTTGGCTCGTACCGTTATTAATACCCCTGACGCGATTAACACTCTACCAAACTTTTATTTTCAGACAAAAGTCGACCGTTTCACTTTTGATATTTTTGGTTAGATAACGGCTAACGGAGGAATGCTACTCGTTAGCAACGGGACGTTGTACGATAAGATGCTTGTGTTAAATATGACATAATTAAATAAGAATTAAATAGTATTAATTAAATTAAATAAGAATTAATAATAAAATATCGATGTATTGGGTGACGTGAGTTCAAAGTCCACGCCCGAACTATAGAAAGTGAGTACTCTTGAAAAAAAAAAAGAAAAAAAATAGAAATTAACAAACGAGCTGGAATCGAAGCTGGAAAAGATTTGTCGGAGAATCCGATTCGCGTTTGTTTCTCGCGAAATCACGGAACTGTGAAAACTTCGGTCTCGGGGGTGGATTTTAAGCCGAATATCGATCAGCGGCCCCGCGGAGTTTCGTGATTCGACGTGTCCCGCGCGTTCGCTGTCCCGTAATTGTTTCCATACAGCGGCGTGTATCGCATATTGTGCATAATCGCGCGCAATTTGCATAGGAGTGGGCGGGCGTGCGCGACCAGAAGCAGAAAACCGTAACCCGGGTGAGTTACGAGGTCGCCTATGAAGCGACGTCTTTCGTTACGTCGGTTCGTTACGTAATTAACGATCGATAAGCTTCTTACTCGCGGTATCGCCTGTTCCTGCACGCGCCACGTTCCGCTTTAACCATTCCCCTAAGCGAGCCAGTCTCGCGAATCTCGCGAAACGGCGGTCCTGCGAAATCGTCGCGGTTTCAATTTTAATTTTTCATTGACTTGTCTCCCATCAGCTAATTTGTCCCTCCCTCTCTCCCTCCCCCTCCTCCCCTCCTACGGTTGAATGTTTCACGAAGGAGCACTCCGGGGAGGGCAAATGGAAGGCCGAAAGTAAACTGGGAACGATCAATTTTTCAGTGGAAGTAAGAGACGGCTTATTTCCTCGGATGAGGAGAAAAAAAAAGAGGAGAGAAGAGAGAAAAAGAAAAAGAAAAACGGTCCTACAGGAGTCACCTTTTCCTCGCTGCTTTCACGTAACAGCCCCTTCAAGACCTGGCGAGAAAACACACACGGCGGCATCTCCGACTTGCCGCAAAAGTGCTCTTAACCCTCTCGTTCTTTACTTCCCTCCCCCTACCCCACCCATCTCTCTCTCTGTTTCTTTAGGCCCTAGTCGGCGATCGCCAAGCTTCCGCTGGATACTCTCATTAGATTACAATCGAAGAGCAGCCAAGATACAAGTTTTCGTTACGTCCGAACGCCCTGCGCGCAAATTGTTCGCTTTTACTGCCGGTGAAAGGAAGAAACGCGTATGTACGCCTGTTACACGGGTAACGCGGAGAGACACGGAGAAGAGAGACAGACGGACTAAATCTTCGTCGTAATCGTGGGCTTAAGCGTGCCGGGTACACTTTCGTTTTCGTTTCGTCCGTCACGGACAACACTGGCGGGTCGATCGGTGTGGATCGGATCGTAAACACACGATATTTCCTTTCGAGTAAAAACTCGTTTGCTCGGTGTTTACCAGGCATCAGGGCCGAAGTTTGGGACGTGAAAAAAAAAAAGATCGTCGAATTAGAACTGAGGAACGAAATGAATATGCATAGACCCGAATTAACGAGGTAATCGCCGAGGAAACGGAAGCAAGAATTCGTGTTAAAAACCCTGATCGTGTAAAGAAACGTGTCGGTGAGGTCAGCTCGGTCAGGCGACATTACCAGACAAAGGGTTAAGGGGGACAGGAACGTTTTGATGCGCGAGCGGTGTCCCTGTTGTCTTTTTTTTTTTTTTTTTCTTGTATCCACTGCCGCGTGCAGACGATGGCATACGTATGCGCGCGTGCGCGCGCACTACGATATTTCACGTGAACGTTCGCACAAAAGCGCACGGCGCGCATTATCATATCGCATTACGGTACTTACACGCGCGTACATCTACTAAATTCCACGTATGCCATCGGGTATAATGTACCCTTCCTATCTACCATTAAATCAAACGCAAACCACCTAGCCGGTCGGACAGTTCATTTGGTTTCGCCAGTCGTGGGCTGTGCGCGCGCGCGTATCCACCACGAAAATCGTAGCTTTCGTTCCACCGACGAAAAAAACAATGGCGATCATTCTTTCTTCCGACCGTAGATAATTCCGGTGAGGGGGGGGGAGGGGGATTTCCAAGTCTCGTGAACTTGGCAACGACGCGCTGCGATTAATTAAATTTAGTTCGTTTTTCACCGAGTTCGTGTGTAATTGCACGGGAGACTTTTCGACATGCTAATTACAACAGGTGTGGGACACGCCTGTGACAAACTCATTGATTCGTAGAGACCGGATTCGTAGGTACGTGTACATCGAAAAACACAAATCGGGTGCGTGAGTCACTTAACATTCCCCCAGTTTGGTTTAACCCTACTACCGCTAGCAGCCCGTGTCCCTCCGTGCTCACACCTGTTCCGTGCCGATCAGAAAGCCCTCTAGCCTCTATTCGACTCCGTGAGAAAAAACGTAGCGATGCTCGAACGAACGCATAAATAGGTTCGTTTATGGTGGTGAAGTTCGTACGGAGAACTCACTCGTCCGGAGGAAAAATCGCGGTATATGTGTGTCCTCGAATGTGTGTACCGAAAGACGTGTACGGGTTTAAGCAGGAGATACAGGGTGAGCGGCGGAGTGGCGCTGGAGGGAGGGCGGGGACCGATGACGGAGGGGAACGAGGAATCATAGAGAACTACGGGGTAGATGGACCGGTGGACGAAGAGAGAGAACAGAGGAGTGAGGATGAGAGCGGCGGTGGTGGGGGAAAAGGACTCGGAACTCGTGTCGTAGCGGTACGACGTTCGGTCGGGTATCTCCGCATCGTGGGCCACACGCTCGGCCGGTGTCGGCTCGCATACGCGCTCAGTCGTGCTCCGACTTCGCTTGCGTACGGACGTAAGGCACGAGCTTCCCGGTAGAGTTAACACGGTACACGTACAGTGTTTTCTTCACCTCTGTCTCTCTATATATACGTGCGCGCGAGTGCGAGTGTGTCATATATACGTATACATAGACCTGTGGCAGCTATAACACGTCTTGTTCGTGTACGTTTGTTCGTGATACGTGCATCTCTGTTTCTCTCTTTTTGTCTCTTCCGTTTTGTACCTCGGTCATTTCTATCTTCTCGCGTAGGAGAATCGGCACGTACTTGGAAGGGACTGTGAGGTGTCGCGTGCGGGGGCAACACACAGTTGCGACGGTGGTGTTCATATCAAAACGTTATCTCGTGACTGATATCGATATGTTATATCTCTACACGTACTAATAGTGCAGCGACAGCAGTGACGAGAAGGGACAGTGTCGAGTCTAACGTGCTCCGATTAACTTCGTTCCGTTAGTCAGCCGAGTGTGTGGCGAAGCTGAGAGTGGTGCCCAGCGAGAGCAGGAAGGAAGAACAAAGAAGCGACGTCCTCTCTGCCAGTCGCTGGAAGCCAGAAGCGCAGAGGCTTGCGAGAAGAAGATTGTGTCCCCCTTCTCTGCAGAAGAGTCCCCTCTTCACCCCTTTCACTGTGGATTCTCATCTCATCGTCGGTGTGTTCTCCCGGTTCTCGGCACTGCTTTTTTTTTTGTGTCTTCTCTCATCTCCCCGCTTTCTTCGTCTGTTCGGCATCGACGCACCGTGCGA